CACTGGGACGTCACAGGGTGGTTTTTCAAAGGCCTAAACGTGGCCCATGGCACTCTATTTATGGGAAGTTCACCCTGCAGGGAATCCTGCTGGCTCTCAGATAACAGTGCTCGTCCCAGCCCCAAGGGCTCCTGACACCGATCAGGAGTCTCAACAACTGCAGCTTACTGAGCCTCTGGGCTCAGGCGGGGCTCCCTGGCTGCAGGCATCTCTGGCCATGCTGGCTGCTGTGGGGTGAACAGATGAATGGAAGGAAAGGATGCATCCTGGATGAGAGCGGCTGCTCTGGACGCTCATGTCACCTGTTGGCGGGCTACCCACCTGCACTGTGCTGGACCTGGGTGCGGACAGAGTGCCAAGTCAGCCTCTGAGGCTCAGAGAAGTCAGCACACTTCTCCAGGGTTGCACAGTGCCTGTGGACGGAAGCCCAAATCCAAATCCAGTCTACTTTCACCTGCTCTCCATGGAATCACAGAATAGGGAGACGGGGAGAGATGGCCTGAAGACCGTGTGCTGGTCTCTTTTTAATTAAAAAAAAAATTTAATATTTTTGAGAGAGAGAGAGAGAGAGAGAGAGAGAGAGAGAGAGAGAGAGAGACTGACTGACTGCAAGCAGGGAAGGGGCAGAGAGAAAAGGAGACACAGGATCTGAAGCAGGCTCCAGCTCCGAGCTGTCAGCACAGAGCCTGATGTGGGGTTCGAACTCACGAACTGAGAGATTATGACCTGAGCCGGAGTTGGGTGCTTAACTGACTGAGCCCCCCAGGTGTCCCCTCTCCACCTCCACCGTGTACTGGTCTTTAAAAGACTTGTGCGCTGATGTTGGAGAAAGGCTTTTGTAACTTTCTTTAGAGTTTTAGAAAGAAGAGCAGGTTCACGGACAGACAGAGACGTGGATGCTTCTCTTCTGCAGAAAAGGAACCGAGTCCCGGGAAATCAGGCGCTATCACCCCAGCAGCAGAGCCTCCAGACTGAAAGCCGCCCCCGGGTCAAAGAGCTGGTCTGGGGAACAACAAGGAGAAGAGGGAACAAGAAGCCCTGGGTCCCTCTGGGGTCTTGCTATTTTGGGGATATGTGTGGGAGCAGGGGCACAGACAGGCCCCGCTCCCAGTAAGAGAAAAATGGAGGGAGACCTCCCCCTTCCTCCCACACACACAGGGAGACACATACACGGACGCACTGAGAAGGCCAGGGACCTACACAGGTATAAATGGAGACAGTGCATGTAATCAGGTGCACAGAGCCAGGAAGAGACAGACGAAAGAGGGAGCCACGATGGGAAAGTGGGATCCCTGAACCTCCGAACACACCGGCCATCCCGAAGAGCAAAG